TCCTATCCCACAAGTTCCATTAGACCAATCCTGCTCATCTCCATTGTTCTCACCCAATGGCTCTTCAGGTCTATGCTCCATATCCCCGCATCTACGACGAAATCTTCCAAAGAACCTTATGAAGTCCATGGAACGATCCAGCCATAGATACACTAAGGGTCTGAATTGGCTGTGTGGCCACTACTCATTCCAAGCTCATGAAGAACCTTCTCTTCACCCCAACCTTCTTGCCCACACATAGACATACATGAAGTCAGGTTGTACCAAATCTGGCACCAAGGACATTCTTTCTCGTGATGCCACCCAAGCTCAAAACCTCATTGGACCTCACCAACACCCACCCAAAAGTAAACCAATAAATTGTGCCAAAAATATGCTCTACCAATCGCATGAATCATGAGGATCAACCAATGTTGTACCCAAATGGTTCTGATCTTCCATTGGGCCACCTAATCATGCACACAAATCCATTTGCACCAGGCATTCCATGGACCCCATCCTCATTGATTGCCTAGCAAGTTTCCCTCTCACATGGTGCCCATGTGCTCTTGGAGGCCAAACAAACCCAATCGAAGCACCATCCATATTGCGCTGCTGTCTGGGGCATTTGCTCAATGGCTTGTATAGCAATACAATTTGCTCAAAGTCAGGATCCTAATCTCTCATGCCCAGGTGTTGCGTCTATGCAGCCGCCTTTGGTCTCAAATGAAATTGCATACATACAGCCACAACCCCAACGCCAGCTGTTTGATGCACCCAATGCTTCATCTCATCTCATCTCATCTCATCTCATATTGGAAGTTCCATTTTCCTATGCTCTCTAGCTATATGCCCATCTCCAAATTAAGACACTCTTCCACACTCCACCATTGAGACCATACAGTCTAGGTATTCACCCTCACCACATAGAGCCTGAATCCCCCATTCCTTCTCCATGTTCTGATAGGCAATGATCCAATTGGCATGGCTCTGATCTGTCAGATCTCTCATCAAGTTTTTGCAAAAATACTAGCTGCTAGCTCTCATGATTCCCACACAGAAGTCCATCAAATATCATCTATCAGCAAGTTCAGGACATCACATCATATATCATCAGATCATCACCTCTATGAGGGGGATCTTGTCTCCAAGACCTCCAATCTCAATGAGTCCCCAATCTCCAGCAACTGGGCCTGCCGGGCTCCTCCCCGGGAGAGGGGGGGGGGG